CACAAGCATCACCATCACCATCACCATCACCATCACCATCACCATCACCATCACCATCACCATCACCATCACCATCACCATCACCACCACCATCATCATCATCATCATCATCATCATCATCATCATCATCATCATCATCATCATCGTCACCATCACCATCACCACCATCATCAGCATTATCATCACCATCACCATCATCATCACCACCACCACCATCATCATCACCATCATCATCACCATCATCACCACCATCATCATCATAACCATCATCCCCATTATTACCACAGTCATCAATCGCATCATCATCAACCGCATCAGCACCATAATCATCGTCATACTCACCGTCACCTGCATCCTGACCACCATCACCATCGCCATCACCACCAAAACCATCGTCATCATCATACCATCACCATCATCACCACCACCATCACCAATACCACCAGCATCACCATCATCATCCTTGCCATCACCACCACCACCACCACCATCACCACCACCATCACCATCACCATCATCACCATCACCATCATTTCCATCATTACCATCGTCATCGCCAACAGCATTATCATTATCGTCATCATCATCATCAATATCACCATCATCGGTTTTCGGTCATCATCGCCATCAACACCAACGCCGTCAACAATGACAATCATCCTCCTCCGCGTCATCATCATCATCATCATCATCATCATCATCACCATCATCACCATCATCATCATCATCATCATCATCATCATCATTATCATCATCACCATCATCAACATCATCATCACGACTCTCCCAAGTCTGGAGACACGAGGTGTCAACCGTGACGGTCTCCTGTGCTCCTTCGAACAATCGACGCCCAGAGTGTTGGACTGGCACGGTGGCGGGACTTGCCGCAAGCAGCTGGATAGGTTGTTTGGTATATGTAATGTGGGCTGTATTGTGCGAGCTACGTGGTGTAAGCTGTGGTGTGCACAATGTTGCGAAAGCCACGCGGGGTGGGCTATGTGGTGTGAGCTGTGCTGTGCGAGCTGTGTAATGCGAGCGATGTGGTGTAAACTGTGTGGTGTGAGCTGTGTGGTCTGAGCCAGGCTGCGCAAACTATGCAGTCTGTGCTCTGCGGCGGAAGCTATGCCGTGTTCGATCTGTGGCGTGAGCTGTGCGGTGCAGGCTGTGTGGCGCCCGCGAGGCGCCCAGAGGCGGGCACCATGCGAAACCTCCTCCTCCTCCTCCCCCTCCGCCTCCTACTCCTCCTCCTCCTCCTCCTCCCTCCTCCTCCTCTCTCCTCCTCCTCCTCCTCCTCCTCCTCCTCCTCCTCCTCCCCTCCCTCCTCCCTCCGCCTCCTAGTCCTCCTCCTCCTTCTCCTCCTCCTCCTCCTCCTCCTCCCCTCTGTTTCCTCCTTCTCCTCCTCCTCCTCCTCCTCCTCCTCCTCCCTCCCTCCTCCTCCTCCTCCTCCTCCCCTCCTCCTCCCTCCTCCTCCTCTCCTCCCGCTCCTCCCCCTCCTCCTCCTCCTCCCTCCTCCTCCTCCTCCTCCTCCTCCTCCTCCTCCTCCTCCTCCTCCTCCCCCTCCTCCTCCTCCTCCTCCCTCCTCCTCCTCCTCCTCCTCCTCCTCCTCCTCCTCCTCCTCCTCCTCCTCCTCCTCCCCCCTCCCCTCTTCCTCTCCTCTCCTCCTCCTCCTCCTCCTCCTCCTCCTCCTCCTCCTCCTCCTCTCCTCCTCCTCCTCCTCCTCCTCCTCCTCCTCCTCCTCCCCTCACCCGCGCGGGGCGCTCACGCGCGGGCACCCGCCGAGGCGCCCACGGGCGGGCCCCCGCCGAGGGCCCGGCACACCGACCCGCCTCTCGATCGCGGGGCGCCCGCAAGGCGCCCACGTCGGCTACGCGTAAGAGTTAGAGGAAAAAGAACTATGCACATACACCGATTCTGGCCAGGTTCATCCTGAGCCCAGGATCGGTGCATACGCCCTCCTACCTTGGCCAGGAAGGCATATGCACCGATCCTGGGTCAAGGATGGGCCTTGCCAGGATCGGTGCATGTGCATAGTTATCTTCGCCCGAAGAGTGATCCTGGGTTAGAGTGACCTTTGGTGCGCGGCTTTTTGGGGGCCGCGGGGGGCCAAGCGCAAGCGCGCAAGACGCCACTGCCGCTTCGCGTTCGGCGATTGGGAGCCCCAATGGGCCCGCACCAAAGGTTACTCCGGCGAAGGGTCACTCTTACGTGTAGCCGACCACGGGTGCCCACCAACTGGGCACCGGCTGAAATCCCGACACGCCCATCCAATTCCTTGTACAAGCGGGAATCCCGAAGCGCAAGCACCGTCCGGGGGAAGGGGAACAATCCAGAGCCAGCCCCGTTTGGAACAGGACACGCCCTCTATAGCTAGATCCAATGAGCTTGGTGAACTGATGTGAGCAACGTTGAAGCGAGAACCGAATTCTGAAACGGCGCCGCCATCCATATGTGTGACTGTTAAACTGGTAATGCCGAACGGACATGGTGCTACGGCGAGAGCCACATTTGGAAAGCCACACGCCCTCCATCTCCTTGGCTGTTGGACTGTTTTCAGACGAATGCGCACGGCGCGAAGGCGAGAACCCCATTCTGACAACAACCCGCCCTCCATTCGTGTAGCTGTTGGTCGGCCCGCCCTGACGACACGCCTGGTGGTGCGACGACGGAGAGTTGTTCATAAGAAGAAATGGCAGGAACAGGGAGGATGAGGAGGAGGTGGAAAGAATGATGATGATGCTGATAATGATGCTGCTGCTGATGATGATGAGGATGATGATGAGGAGGATGAGGAGGACGCAATCTATAGGGAGGAAGATGGTGATGGTGATGGTGATGATGCGCAGGAGGAGAAGGCTGAGGAGGACGGAATAGATAGGGAGGAAGATGGTGATAAGGATGGTGATGATGCGCAGGAGGAGGAGGAGGAGGAAGAGGAAGACGAGAAGGAGGAGCAGGATGATAATAAGGAGGATGCAGATCCTCGTCCAGCGGCACCGTCGAGTCCTCGAGCTCGTCGAGGTCCTCGACCTTCCGCTCCATCGCCTCGAGCAGCATGGATCGGCCGCCGTCATCCAGGAGCAGCTCATATGCCAGGGAGATCCGCCTGAACCTCTCCTCCGCGTCTGGCCTAGTGAGGAGCGAGGGGAGGGAGGGGGGTGGGAGGGGGGAGGATGAGGAGGATGGGGGGATGGAAGGGTATCACGGGGGAGGGGGAGGGACGGGGAGGAGGAAAGGGGATGGGAGGGGGGAGGCAGGCCTCTGGAGATCGAATGTCGAGGGCAATTACTTGTTGTGCAACCGCAATCATATGTTATGACGACTCTTCTGGCACCACATTCTTTTGGGGCTCGAGAAATGTCCGGAGGACGCTGGGAACCTCTCCTCTGGAGACCACCAGGGACCTCCTGAAGAGGAGAGGGGGGAGGGAGGGAGTGAGATGGGGCAGGAGGAGGAGGAAGAGGAGGAAGAGGAGGAGGGAAGGAGGCGGTGGAGGAGGAGGCAGGTGGAGGAGAAGACACCAGGAGGGATGACGATGAGGACGAGGATGATATGATGGGGGAGGAGGAAGGAGCAGGAGGAGGGGAGAGAACGATGAGGAGGCAGAGGGTCACCTGGGGAGGACGACGGGGAGGAGAAGGAGGAGGAGAAGGAGGAGGACGAGGATAAGGATGATGGGGAGGAAGAGGAGGAGGAGGGGGATGAGGAGGATGAGGAGGATGAGGAGGAGGAGGAGGAGGAGGAGGAGGGTCAGAGCGAACCCAGGCTGCGCCAACGATGCCGAAGCACACGCCCGCCCGTCCCAAGTCCTCTCCTCACCAGTTCCCGCAAACACTCTTCTTCAATGCGCGCGCGAGGCGCCCCCCCACAAGACGCGCGCCCCGTGGGCCCGCAATTCGGGCGGGAACTCCCGATCGACAGAAACCAGCCTCCATCCATTCGAGCCAGAAGGGCTGTGACAACGTGAGGGATCAAACTTCAATGAGGTGCTCCTCTGTTGCCCTGCCTCGAAAAAGAGCCGCCCTCAATCCGCGTGGCTGGTGCGCACATTTGCATGCTCTGGCTGTGAAAGTCTACGAGGTCCCAAGCGATAGCCCCATTTAAAAGGCACCGCCCTCTATCCGTGAAGCTGCTTGACAATGTTGCAGTACGATGTGTTGAGGAAGTACCAAGCAAACACTTCAATTTGAAAGCGTACCGGCCTCAAGCCTTCATCACTCGACGCGGAGATCCCCGCATTTGCTCCTGGCAGCCCCGCTGAGGGTGTCTGGCTGTGAGTGTCTGGGTTTGATAGCGAATCCAAATCGACGACGGATGCGACGACGACAACGACGACGACGGCGGCGGCTACGATGAGGGATGGGACAGCGACGGTAACGACAGCAACTCACAAACAGGCGGCGAGCAGGTCCCTCCCCTCTGTTTTTCCTTACTCCAGGTCGTGCCCCCTCCCTGCCCTTCCTCCTTCCTCTCTCTTCCCTCGCCCTGGGTCCGCTTACTTCCTCCTCCGTCCTCTCTCATGCTCCCTGGCGGCCGTCCTTCTCCCTCCCTCTGCGTCCGTCTCCTTTTTCCTCCTCCGTCCTCCCTCCTTCTCCGTCCTTCCTTCTCCTCCCTGGCAAGCGCCCCCCCCCCATACCTGGCGGCCCTCTCCCCTCTCCTGCTCCTCCTCCTCGCCGGAAGCCCTCCCGTTCTCTTCCTCCCTCCTCCTCCTCCTGCGTTTTTTTTTCTGGAGTCCTGCTCCGCCCTCCTGAAGGGGAACTGGGACACACAAATAAATGCACACAAATAAAAGGATTCCCCATACTTTCCCGTATTTTCTGGGTTTCTGTCTTCCCCCCCACTTCCGATGTTTTCCCATATCTTCCCAGGAATCGACGATTGATTGTGTCTGTGTGTTTCTTCCCCTCCTGACCTCCCTGCTCTTCCCTGCCGGCCGTCCCTTTTTTTCCCTGCGCCGGGGTGAGCACGGGGCTCTGACCGGACAGGGGTCCGAGGTGCCAGCACGAGCGCCTCGCTCGAGGCCTCCCCACAGTCTGGCAGCGAGCGGGCGAGCGTCCCGCCCCTGGTCGACGCTGCCCTCCACCTGCCTCCTCCTCCTCCTCCTCCTCCTCCTTCTGCTCCTCTTCCTCCTCCTCCTCCTCCTCTTCCTCCCATGTCCCTTCTCCTCCTCCTCCTCCTCCTCCTTCTGCTCCCTCTTCTTCCTCCTCCTTTTCCTCGTCCTCCTCCTCCTCCTCCTCTCGTTTTCCTTCTCCTCCTCCACCTCCTCCTCTTCCACATCCCCTCCATTCATCTCCCTTCTAGATAACTCCTTCCCGTCGCACCCCGAGGCCGGTCGAAAGGGCGGGCTGGGCGTCTCGCCCGAGACTTCGACACCAACTATAGCCCTGATGCTTAAACTGTGGCAGCCGTATCACAGATGGCGGGCGGGTGGTTTTCAACATGTGGATCGCGCCCTAGCTCCGCGCACAGTCGCATCAAACACTTCCGAAAACTTGAAGGATTGAGGGCGGGTCGTTCTCAAACTGTGGCTCTCGCTTGGGCGCCGCGCACATTCAGTTCAACCGCCTGTAAGAGGCTCACGGATTAAGGGCGGGTCGTTTTCAAAATCTGGCTCTCGCTTGCGCGCCGCGCACGCTCGCTTTAACAATCATTGCGAGAGTGAGGGCGGTTCGTTTTTAGAATGTGGCTCTCGCATCAGCGCCGCGCACATTCGTTATACAAACAGAGAAAGAGTTTCACGGAGGGAGGGCGGTTCGTTTTCAGGATGTGGCTCTCGCCTTAGCGCCGCGCGCATTCGTTATACAAACATTGGAAGAGCTTCGCGGATTGATGGCGGTTCGTTTTCAACATGTGGCTCTCGCCTTAACGCCGCACGCATTCGTTTAAGACATTTGCAAGAGTTTCGCAGATTGAAGACGGGTCGTTATAAAATGTGTCTCTCGCCTTAGCGCCGCGCGCATTCGTTCTAAAGAAGCAAGAGCTTCAAGGATTGAGGTGGTTTCTTTTTCAACATGCGGTTCTCGCTTCATCGCCGCGTACATTCGTTTTCCTTCTGATTTTATATGCACAAATGTTGAACGAATTTCACTGGGTCTCATGGTTAGCGTACCAGGACTTGTGTTTTAGAGCGCTTCAGGATTGTCAGGGCGCAACGGTTACGTTGATTCGTGGCGCTGAAGTCATGGTGTTTTGGCACGCTTCAAGAGGTTCACGCCGTTGTCCCTCAATGGGGCAAGTTCCTCAGTGGAATGACCCCTTGTAGGGCCTGTGAAGGCGGATCTTGACGGGAGGGTGTATTTCGACATCGTTGATGATTCTTGGGCTTACGCTGGTCCTCCTCCTCCTCCTCCTCCTCTCCTAATGCTCTCGTCTTCGCCCTCCTCCTCTGGAGGGGAAGCGCGCTGGCGGGCCTGTCGGATACGTCCGGGTGCTCCTTCCGCGCGATGTTTCGGAACGCCGCCCGGATGTCCTTCTTGGATGCTTCCACGTCGTCCAGGTCCAGCAGCTCGAACGGGGCGTTCCAGTCGCCCTCAAATTCCTCCACGAGGGGGCGGGGAGAGGCCGAGAAGAGGGAAGGAGGGGGGGAGAGTGGGCGGATGGGGTGTGAAGGGATGCGGAGGCAAAATGGGGGAAAAGGAGGAGATGGTGAGGATCGCGGATCAGCAGGAAAGGAGAAGTAAGGATGATGATGAGGATGGGGAAACAAGGGGAAGTGGGAAGACGAGGAGTGGCAGGAGGACGGAGGATAAGGGGAGGGGATGGCGAGGAGGAGTGGCACAACAGGGCAAGGATGGGTCTGAAAAGGCGAAGGAGGAAGGGGAGGAGTGACGTGAGGAGGAGCGAGAGGAGAGGAAGGGCCTTCAAGAGGACGGGAAGGAGGGGGGCAGGACACAGGGGTAGGAGCAATAGGAAACACAGGAGTGGAAATCTATGGTGATAACAGTATTAACAATAATGGTCACGATCGTGGTAGTAGGGTTGAGAATCACATAACCACGCGACCCGCAATTATCGAGTATCACCCGGTGACTGTTGGTATCCCTCTGGGTGGGCCATAACAAATCCTTTTGAGAGAGGGGCAGGTTCGGTCATCTGGTCGCGTGGGGACGCCTGGAGACTTGCTTGTGCAAAGCTGGAGGACCCCCCGTGCAATCCATATGTTGCCCAATGGAGGCACGGGGAATTTCGTTGGAAACAGAACAGATGTCAACATCTTACTGAGCGCTCCTCTCTCCCGTCGCTGCGTCAGGCACTAGGACAGGCAGATGTTGATGTGTTGATGGAGTAACGCTGATTTTGTGTCGCCGCCAGAGACTGCGCGTCGAAGGTTGCTTTCTCATACTCTGCGCGCAGGCCCGGAAACTCTGCGCCGAAAGGCGCGGCGACGCCGCTTCGCCGCATCGCAAAGACGAGCGCCCATAGCAAACTCGATCAATGCAGGGCGCAGTATGAAATTCACGCACGTGACCTGCGATGAATATGCGGGGTTCTTTGGTCGCGTAATCAATATTGCGTTTGTTTTCCAAAACGAACCGATAAGAATCAATGGGGATCGGTAGGAACCAATCGAAAACACTCGAAATCACTAGGAATAAGCACGAATGGATAAGAAACAAAGGGAACCACTGGGAACCGATACGAATCAATAAAAATCAATAAGAATCAATCGGACGCAATGGAAACCAACCGGAATACATTGGAATCAATAGGGGTCAATAAGAATAATGAACAACCAATAGGCATCAACACACGTAGGTAAGAACCCATGGGGCTCAGTACAAATCGATTGGAATCACCACGAATGAAGAAGAACTAGCGTGAATCACTAAAAATCAATAGGTGTCAATAGGAAGCAATAAGAAGCATTCAGAATCATTAAGAACCAAGTGGGGTCCACTAGGAACCAATGAGAGCCACGGATAAGCAATAATAGCCAATAAGAAAGAATTGGAATCAATCGGGAGGAACTGGAATTAATAAGAACCAATAAACATCAATCATAATCGAATTAATCGGAATCGTTAGGAACTGTTCAGCATGAGCCGGAATCGTTCGGAACCAAATTAATTAATGAAAATTGGTAAGGTCCACTCGGAATCCATGTGGATCCATACGAATGAATGGAAAACAAAATAAATCAATAAAAACCAATCGGAAACAACAATAACCAATCGGAAAACATGGGGATCCGTATCAATCCATGGAAAAACAACATCATCAATAATCGATACGATTTGAAACGGGTCAATCGGACTCATTAGGGGCCAAGGAAAAACTAATTGGAAGCAGCCGGGATCAATCGGATCGATGGGGATACATAGGAATCACTGGAATGGAAATCAGTAGGAATCAACAAACATCGGTAACATTTCGTGGGGATCAATGGGGTTGAATATGAAGCAATCGGCTTCAATCGGGACCAACGGGAAGAAGCCGGCATTACTAAAGTAGGCATTCGTCGGCAACCTTATTATTCCCCGCATCCTAAGAAATGGTTCTTGTTTTCTCTGCACACCTCCGCACACGAAGCTCATCTCACACCTCACCCCCTCCTCGTGTCATCACCATCGCATCGTGATCACCGATCATCATGATCACCCGCCCACTCTCTCGCTCAACCGTTGAGGACGCACTCATTCATTTACGTGTCATAACCCCATCATGGTCATCGACACTCATCATCACTAACCACTCACACTCACTCTCAATCGCGCAATCACATTCTCTCATCACCCACTCACTCATCATCATGTCATCGTCCGTTCTCGTGCTAACGTCATGAATCGCGCCATCATCCCACATCCACTCCTTCTTATCACCATCAATAACACCATCGTCATCATCATTCACATTCGCTCGCGCACTCGTCACCATCATCACCATCACCATGACCACCATCGTACACAGATCATCATCATCATCATCATCATCATCATCATCATCATCATCATCATCACCATCACCATCACCATCACCACCATCATCGTCATCAACATCTTCATCACTCACCTCCACCATCATCACATCATCATCGCCATTATCATCATCGGAACCATCCAATATCCTCCTCAGCCTCGCCCTCGTCCCTCACCGCCACCATCATCAACTCATCATCACTCACCCGCACTCACCATCACCGTCACCATCACCATACATAGATCACGATCACCATCCCATCATGACCATCGACCAAAGCGGAACTTCGTCTGTGAGTGATACCGAAGGAAAATTTCAAGCGGGAGCCCCCTACCTATGGGGCCCGCACTTCATGTTCGAATCCAAGCGGGCCATCCGAACCCTGAAACTGTCGTCACTTTGGGCTCCCATGGCCTGAGCATAAAGAAAGTCTCAGACGGGAGCCTCGTCGGTGAGTGAATCGCGAAGAAGTCTCAAGCGGACGCCCCCTCCGTATGGGGCACGCACTTCATGTTCTAGCCCGAGCGTGTCATCAAAATCCGGAAACTGTCGTCACTTTTGGGCTCCTAAGGCCTGAGCAAAAAGGAAGTCTCAGAAGGGAGCCTTGTCGGTGAGTGAACCGCGAGGAAGTCTCAGGCGGGAGCCCCCTCCGCATGGGGCCCGCACTTCATGTTTTAATCCGAACGGGTCATCAAAATCGTGTAAATGTCGTCACTGTTGGGCTTTTCGAGCCTGCGTCTTGAGGAAGTCTCAGGCGGGGACCTCCTCTGTGAGTGAATCGCGAGGAAGTCTCAAACGGGAGCCTATTCCCTATGGGGCCCGCACTACATCTTCGAATCCGAGGCGGGTCATCGAAATCTTGCCCGAGTATGGAGGAAGTCTCGCGCGGGAGCCCCCTCTATAGGTCCCGCGCGTCATGTCGGCAATCCGTGCGGGGCACCGGGATCCTTGTGCCTGACGTCAGTTTGGAACTTCTCAGGCTTGAGTATGGATGAAGTCTCGAGCGGGAGCCAGTGAATCGCGCATGGGGGCGCAGACTTGCACGGCGAGGGGTTCGTTTCGGAGGTCTTTTTGGCGCTGGTCTGGA